ATCCTTTGTGTTTGAGGCAATTTCAATAAAAAAAATCATTATTTCTCAGCTCCAATGTGCTTAAAAAAGAACTGATTTACATGAAAAAATGCAGGCTATTTTATAAAAAGAAGAAAATATAAGATTGTTTATGAATTAGTAAAAAAAAATGTAAATAGCCAAAATGCTTATTGATATTGTTTTATTTGTCAAATTTGAATTCATAAAAAAATTCAATCTTTAAATTGAAGTGAGGCACAAAATGTTTAATCAGTACCTAACAGGAATCAAAAAAAGAATAAAAGTATATATTTAGTTCAGATTAACTAAATATGAAAATATATATCAGAAGAAAAGAGAGAAAATTCAACAAATTTATGTTCAAACAACATATCTTCTTTCCTTTTACAATTAATATAAAGTAAAAATACTTTAAAAAATTAACAATAAAAACAATTGATAAAAAGCTAAATTTAAATGTTTTAATATCAAGTGTAACCAGCATTTTTTATTTTATTGCAAAGCAATTTATAAGGATAAAAACATTGTTTATGTATTAGGGAATTTAGAGAAACAAAATATTCCTCTTCAGGCCAAATCAGATACAATGGGTTATGCAACAAGCAGTAAGAAATGGAAAGACTCACTGTTGAAACCTTGCTAACATTTTGATGCTGGTAGGAAAATAGAAAAGAAATACGCTCTCTTTCTCAGTTGCACAATGCAGTGAGTGTATTTGACAGCTGCAAGTATCTATGGCTTTGTTATCTTTGCTGTATAATAATTTATATTCAAAATCCAAAGAAGGAAATGCACATTTTATGGAAATAAAATCTATTAAGATGTTTTGAGATTATTATTATTATCATCATTGGATGATGGAGATTCCTAAATGTTTGAATAACTCAAGATAACTTTTGTTTGCTTTGCTTAGACATATCCAAATTCACAGATCAACAAAAGAAGATTCAAAATTTCTTTGGATTTCATATAAATCGCCTAAGGAAACAAAATTGGCAGATTTTAAATAAATATATGCAATTGTGACTAAAAGAGTAATGTATATCCTGTCTGTACTGGGGAGCCCAGGGTTTTTTTTTTTTTTAAAAAAAGGCAGGTTTTTAGAGAGCTAAGCAATCTCACCACATTTGAAAGATTAGATTCTTCTCCTTGTCTGATGTGTTCTTTGGCCTTCCTATTATTGTCTGAAATTCTCTCATGATTCATTATCATTATTCTATCAGTTATTTGGACTAGTCTTCTCAACCTTGCTTTTTTTATCATTACATTTGGGCTGATGTATTCTCTGGCCTTCCTAATATTGTCTGATTTTCTCTCATGATTTATTATCATTACTGCATTCTCGCATGATTTATTATCATATTTCTGTCAGTTATTTGGACTAGTCTTCTCATCTGTGATGTTATCATTACATTTGGGCTGATGTATTCTTTGGCCTTTTTAGTATTATCTGAAATTCTCACTTGATTAATACAAAAATTGTTATATTTTTGCATGTTCAAAGGTTTTTTTTCATTTTATAAACAAATCAACAAAATGAGAATGATAAGAAAATCACAAGAGCCAATGTTGTGAAAATTTTCTGTTTTGGTTAAAAAATAAGAAATTCCTATTAAAATCAATCAAATTGTCTTAACAATAAAATTACATCGACATTGAGGCAATGGGCCTTGTGTCTCTCTTGTAATCTGTATGACTCTTCAATGTGCATACTGGAGAAAAACGATGCAGTCAAGAAAACTGAAATATTGTAATGAAAGGAAAAACAGAAGACAAAATGTGGGTTGCACTTAGGAAATATTTTGGCTATGGCAAAAATTTCATTTTTATTTTTTGTTTATTTTTTTCAAATAAGCTTCTGATAATAACTGAATATCAGTACTAATTTACTGATACTTTTTGTTTTCATTCTGCATATATGGTTATAATAGGTTTACTTATTATGTATGGATCAACTTGATCATAGGATTAGTGCATAGTGTGTGTGTGTGTGTGTATATATATATATACACACACATACATACATATATACATACATACATTCATTCATATATCAATACACATATTTCTATCTACATTATTAAAGTTAATGGAAGCTTTTGGATGCTTAAACACCTAAACATATTTTGATACATGTTGGCTCAGAAACTTACATATATGAACATGTACACACATGCATAAACAATATCAAAATATCTACACATGTACAAAGGTTTTCATAACATATGGACATATATTTGCATGAACAGAAGAATTCATACTAATTCAATTCAGTGTGTGTGTACTTGCATATTTATGTATGTACATATCTCCAATTGACTAATATAGATATATATGTATTTACACATATACATATGCACAAATATAAGTGGACATATTATGGGTTAGATTATGTGAAAATACTGGACAGTTCTTGAGCTTTGTAGAAAAGTGCCTTTTTTAGATGGCATTTCTTTAAATATATTGTCTGAAAATCAAAACTGACTCATTATTCTATAAGAGTAATATTCCCATCTTGGTTAATTTTATCACTACATTTTGATTGACTATAGCTGGAGATGTAATCAGCTGAAACATTGTGATAGGAGCAAGGATAAAAATATTAGTTTGAATAAACAGCACATGAAATAAGTACAGCCATAAATTCAGTCATTTTGGAAAAAATCCTTACACTGGTATAATTTGTTTTAAATTATTTTAAGTAATTCAGTGTTATAAATTAAATCCATGAAAAGTATAAAGGTAAAAGTTTGAAAATTGATAAAAAAAGCACAAAATTTTAACCAATCATGGATATTGTTTTATTGTTAATGAGAAAAATATGTTTTTGCAATTCATTTTTTATATACATTAATTTGTGCAGAAGGATTTAGAAAACGTTTTTTTAGGCAGCATCTATTTTTTCCAGCTAGGAATTTTATAATTTTATGATGTTAATTTATTTTTTTAAACATTTCAATTTTATGAGTGGTGCCTGACTAATTGAATGTTTAATAGTTTATTTATATTCAAATAAATTAATTGCATTTGATTTATAAAATGTTTACTTATAACCTTTTGTTTTAAGAGGAAAAATGATATGAAGAAGTAATTTGTAAGTATTTGATAGGAGTTTCAGTTATATTTTTTATTCTTAAACAAAATCTTGTTCATAAAGGTATTTAAATAAGCCATCAAAGAATACATTCAATTATACCGTAAAGATATGTGACAGCCTTTTTGTTATTCTACTATCAATACACTTGTTGACATGTGACTGTCCTACAAAGTTGATTTGAAATAAATTTTTCAGACACTAAAATAAAAAAGTTTGAATTACTTTAAATTTTTCTATCTTGTATTTCATTCATTGAGATGAAAGACTCCCTTATAAATCAGTTGGCATGTTTGTGTAGGGTTTATCAAAGTCATAGGCACATATTTTACCTGAGATTTTACAACTGGGTGTAAGTGGTTGGAAACTAAGTCTGTGAAGAGGGGAGAGGTTAAAATTAGTTATATGAGAGAAAAGAACCACAAAATTAGATTGCCAGGCATAAAACTGTTTAAAAAACAAAGAAATTATTATAATGAATTGTTGTGATAGATTTTGTCTGGTTCAATAAAATTTTAATCCCATTTCATAGAAGTTTATTAAGTTTAGTTTGGCACAAGAGAAGTGCACTCAGTGAGAGTCAAACTCACTATAGTAGTAATAATCTGCTTCTATGTAAGGATATATTTTTTAATCTGATGCCTATGTGAAATAATATTTCACACTTTTAATTTATTTACACATTTTTTAAATATAGGTCATCATCAAAAATGTATTTATTTAAACTATAAACATTGAAAAAATGCAATTTGCCTGTGACAACAAAATTGAACAGCAGTTAAAATATCCATGATTTTTTTTTTATTTGTCCACACAAAATGCACAAAATTTCTGAATGAATTTCAATAAACCTGTGTGAAAGGTTGGGTCATGGACTAAGGAACAATCGATTTTGGGATTCAGTGACAAAGAGTGACCTCCCCTTATCGTATTTTCATTCATTTATTTATTTTTTTTTTTTTATTGATAATGCCATGAGTAGGGGTACACATCCTCAGAGTGTCAATTTTATTTTATCTGATTATATTAAATTCTTATCACAAAATAAAACAAACTTATACAGGTGTAAAAAGTATTCCACCTTTCAATAATACTTGACTGAAAGACATTTTATTTCAGATTAGAATGTGTTGAATGGATATAAAATGAAAATGATTTTTCAAGAATAAGTGTTGTGTTCTGTTATAGCCAAATTATATAAACTAAAAGATGTTCACAGATCTTTTTTCAAGTAGTTTGATTCCTCTTAACTGCACTTAGTTTGATCACATCTCTTTCTGCAGACAATAATTAGAATAAATAAAATAAATAACTGATTATATTTTAGTCTCAAAAATCAATTATATTCATCCATTTTGCAAAGTCCACCTGAGATATATATATACAAAAATATGTAAGTACACACACACACACATATATATATATAAAACACACAAAACATATATATATATATATATATATATATATATATATATATATATATATATATATATACAAACAAATATATCTACGCACACATAAGCATGGTTATACATAGATGTGGATTCACATGGACACAAATTAATAATTAGTATCTATATATCATTCTGTTTAGCTTATTTAAATGTGAAAATCAGAAAAACAGTCAAGAACAAATCCACTTCATTAAACAAAAAAAAATTTAATTGCAGATGTTTGTCTTGAATTTCTCATCCCAGACAAATATGTCAAAGACCAAGTCATGAATAATTTCCTGGAAAAAGCAATTCCATCATTGTTGCTTTTTTCTGGCAGTTGTGATAGTGGGAGATTTGAATGCAGAAATCTAAATTTAAAAAAAAAAAAACTCACCAGTTTCAAATATAAAAATAATAACAACAAAATAGATTCTTTGAATAAATCCAAATTTCTGCCCTGTGTGTCATTTTCACCGTTTTTTTCGTGTTGGCAAGGGAGGTAACTCTCTGTTTGATAACATTCTGTTCTGTGCAGGTGATCGCGGTCGAGGCCGAGGCACAGGAGCTGGTGGTCGTAGTTCATGTGGAGGTGGAGGTGGTAATGCAGGTGGAGATGGTGGGGGAGGTCCATCGTCATCTAATTTTGGCAGCACTGATTTACATTCTGTGGTTTTGTTGGACTTTAAATCGCTATCGTTTAACTGTAAATATTCTGGCTGATACTCATAGAATGAATATTCTCCCTCAAAATCATCCAGAGTCATTGAACCTGATCTCTCACTAAAAGGAACCATATATTCCTCTTTGTCATAGGCTTTGTTGAAAACACCATCAAATAACTTAAATGGCATATCTTTACTATCTTTATCTGGTTCATCATTGAACCAAGAACAATTCTTACTCAGGGGACTGATTTTGTAGAAAGAGTCCAGAGCCTCTTCATCCATTATCTTTGCTGTGGCAGCATTTTCCATTTTAAATTGATTGTTTAGATTTGATGCCTTTGGAGAAATTTTACCATTATCTGCTTGACATGGCACCACTTCTGACAGCTCAGCATAAGGACTCTCTGCAAGAAACCAAAATAAAAAATATGTAAGATTTATTAAATTAATTTTGACATGTGAAACACAAGCTTCTGAATTTTATTTAATGACTGACTTCAGTTTCTATTTCAAATATTCATTTCAGAGATCAAAATATTTACAAATAATTATTCTGTGTTTGAAGAGAATATCATAAAAATAATGTATATTGTTATAACTTCTAAGTTGTACTACATATCAAGTCATGAGTTGGTACTACCAAAGTAGTTTGAAATTGGTGCATTTGATGAGTATCATTTGCTGTTTTAACTCTGAATATTTTACTGTTGTATTGCACTGCTTAGATTATTCTTTCATAACTCATTTTTTTTTTTGCCTTTGAAAACTTGATATCTACAGAACAAGTATGATTCCTCATTTTTGTAGGAGAGTGAATTGCAGTAAAAAGGAAAAATATTCATTTGAAATTTGGAGAAATAACAGCTAAACAGTAAACAAATGGTTTCATAAATTTTACTCCAATAATGGAAATATTTAAAACAATTTAATTTCAAACAAACTACATAACACACACTACTGCTAATCTTGTCTTTCTTTTTTGAAGCTATCTGTATATACATAAATATAATTTTCTTTCACTTCTCTTTTGAGCCATGTTGTTCTTTATACATGCTGAATTAATTTTGAAAATGTTGAATTCATTCATTCTGAAAGTCTTTATCCTCATGCACAATGTCATACCCCAATCCTCTACAAACTGGTGGCCAAAAGCAACCTTATCCATTACAGTCCTGGAGGAGCTGCTTACTACAGGTGAAAAACAATGGACAAATGGATTCTACATATTCATGTGGAATCTAAACAGAAAATTAGGAACTGAGTTATTTTTAGATGTGCTCATCATTGCTTATTTGCAAAAATCATGATTCATTTCTGAAATATTGTTATTTGAAATGAAAAATGAAGTCTTCTATCCATCCTCTCTTCACTAAATTTGAGGTGTTAACATCATTTGTTGATAAAGCCAAATGTTTTGCTTGTAAATTCTCTTCAAATTCTACTTTTGACTCATCTGGAGTATTTTTGCTTGACTCTCCACTATGACCTGCATCTCCATTGAGTGATATGCACATAACTCCATCCATGGTTTCTGCTATCGTCCCTAAGCTGGATCCTTACAAAACATGTGCACTTGATGGTATCCCTGCAATAGTCCTTAAGAAATGTGCTCTTGAACTGTCTCCTGTTCTCTCTCAACTCTTCAATAAATGCCTGCTTCTTGCTTTCCTGCTTGTTGAAAATCCTCTCCTGTAGTTCTAGTCTTTAAGAACTCAGGTGAATTGTCTATCTGTTTTCTATCTCTTTTTGGGAAAGTATTAGAGGCTCTAATTAACTTTGAATTGAAAGCATCTCACCTAACAGTGTCTTCTTTCAGATAAGCAATATGCCTTTCTCTTCTTGTAATTGTAAAGAAAAGTAAAAAAAACTGTCAACTTATAGTAGCAATAAATGTTTGCAATAGATTTCTTCTATCTCTCGACCACAACGCTTGTAGCCAAATCACTGGTTCAAATAACAGTCTAATAGGCAATGTAGAAATGACAAAATGGGGTCACAAATCCAACCTTCACTTCTCACCGGCAAAAACGCGTATTCGTCCACGAAGCTCAGAAAATCAAACCTATTCACATAAACAAAAAAACAACAGCTTTTTCACAGAGAGATTTTTTCTGATTAGTCTTGCCATTCAGGGGAGGGAAGAACATTAGCATAGATTCTGGTCCTTAAAGTAGATTTTTGCTAACTACTTTTTGGTAATTTTTCTTCAGCAGATTGCACACAAAACACAAACTCTTTTTCGAGGTAGCTGATTATCTCTTTCACTACACTTCTCTAAGTCAACTGCTGATGTGTTAACAGTTAAGGCTGAAGGTGTCTATCAAGCTTTAGATAGGAATGGTGAACATCAGGCTATTGCTTTGGATATCTCAAAGGCATTTCACAAGGTTCAATATACTAGTCTTTTTCGCAAGTTGAAAGATTATGGTAGTTTTGGACAAATTTTTGAACTGATTCAGTCTTTTTTATCAAATCAGCAAATGAAAGTTGTCCTGAATGGCCACTCTTCTAGATCTTTTTTCATTAATGACGGTGTTCCCCAGGCCTTACATTGTTCCTAATTTTCATAAATGACCTTCCTGATATCATCAGTTCTCAGCTCATTAACTATGCTGATGACACAACTCCTGTTTTAATAGTAAGTCTGATCAGTTCAATAAGTTCAAACTGGCAGCCTACCAAAAAATTACCTACAATCTGTTGTTAAATGGAGAAAGGAGTGGCTTGTTAATTGTAATGCCTCCAAAATGAAACCTCTGTCTTTTAATCATCTGAGAGGGCCCTTTTTACTTTCCATCAGCATGGCTGATGCTAACCTCTAGGAGAGTGACACATTGCATTCTCTGACTAATGTTTTCCACTGATATTTTTTTTGCCAGAATCTATCTTACACATATTTATAAATCTACCATTTGTCTTTGCTTTAAATATTGCTGTCACATCTGGTCTGGTGCTTCTGCTATATATTTAGAGATTCTTGATAAAATGCAAAGAAGAATCTGCAATGTTATTGGTCTTGACCTGGTATCTTGGCTTCAGTCATATTTCCATCACCATAAAGCAGCTTCCCTGTGCCTTTACTATATATACTTTCATGGTAATTGTTTTGATAAATTTTCCTCTATGGTACCTAGACTTTATGAATTTAAGTGCTGTACTGTCTCATTATTTTGCAGTTGAAATAGCTAGATGCAACTGTAAGTTCTATGCTAACAGTTTGTTTTATCACACTTCTCACTTGTGGAACTCTTGTGAAACTCAACTTCTTGCTTTCCTGTCAACTTTGATCTTCAAAAATTTAAATGCAATGTCAATTGTTATCTTCTGTTTTTGTAATTCTTGTTCTTTTATTGTCTTCTCTACTTAACATTTCTTTCTTACAGATTTTTTTCATATTCTCTAACACTCAGTAATACCTTTGTGTCTTAGTGGCTTTGTTGCCTTGCTTGGGGTGAAATGATTAAAGAAAAATCTATTAGTATAATTAGAAATGCATATTTTAATTACAACAGTGCACTTTTTGCATAAAGTGTTTTCTTTTTCAGATGAAAACTTGGCATTTCATGTCAAGAGGATACTGAAAGTATGTTTCCCACCAGCATTTTCTTATACAAGCTGTTTTCTATAATGAAAACACTCAGTCCCTTAGTCCAATGTAAAGAGATGCAAAAATTAATTAAAATTATAATTTAAATGAGAAATAATTTTCAAATAAAATGCTCATTGGGAAAATGAGTTTGAACTTTAGTTTCAAATATTTTTCTAAGGGCCTCCTCCTATTTTAGCTATCAATCAATTTAAGTAAATTTGACTATGAAAAACATTAATGAGAAGAGAGAAAACACATTGATTAGTTTTGGGATTTGTGAAAAAGTTAATATAAAATATTAAAATTAAAATTTTAAATGTAAATGCCCAAAAACTTGTATTCTTAATTAACAGGTTAGTAAATGTCTATTTTGATGGAACTTTTCTTTCCAAAACCAAATGGCACTGACTAACCTAACCACTCTGTAGTCATATCACAATTCATAACTAGTAAAGGCAGAAACTTAATCAAATTATTACAGTTTATGGTTAGTAAAAGATATTCAGGATAAGTCTCTTATATTCAGTAATATGACATAATAAAATGAATAAATTATGCTAATTATGTCATGCTAATGTGGCGTTGACTACTGAATGCATAAATAGACAAGTAATAAAAGAACCTTGTCTTTTCTTCAAATTTTTTAAGATGTGTTACAAATATATATATGATTACATGAGAAAATAAGTTATTCTAAATCTAGAGAAAGAGGAGGAGAGAGAGAGACCTGTTAATATTATATAAAATTTTTTTAAATTACAGAATTCTTTTTAATAAGTGTGATAATCTCTATGATCAACAGAATCTTTCAGTCAAAATTTTTGTTATGTGTGTGTCAGTGTGATATAAAATTAGAATGTATTTTGGTCTACCTTCTAGTGGAATAGGAGGTGGAGGTCTTCGTCTTGTGTTGGGGCTGTAGGCTGGGTTGCTGGTCTGCATCTGATTCCAGTTGTTCAAATCATGAGAGACTGGCCTGAAAAAAAACAAAAAAAAGTTCAAGAATCAGTCAAGAATGTAAGACATGACCAAAGAGAGATATAAGGAAAATAAAACTGAAAGAGAGAATAGAATAGAATAAAATTGTTCACAGACTTGGAATAAGAAAACCATTCAAATATTTCATTTAAATATTTATAAAACATCTCTTCTCCAAATATATATATATATATATATATATATATTTGTTTGTGGAGAAGAGATGTTTTATAAGTATTATTAAAAATTGTTATAACTATCATTTTACCACTGCCTGATGAGAAGCCATGTTGCATTGAAACATTAATGTATTTTTGTATGTTCAAATGTAATAACCTATAATAAAGAATTATAGCTCTACTTTTGTATTGAGCTCTTTTTTAAATTAATGTTATGAACATTTGAATTTATATTTGATTTGTTCTCATTGCGTTTGGACATTGTTTACATTTCAGATATGAAAATAAAGTTAGTTTGATATGGGCTTGAAAAGATCTCAGCAAAAGATGTGTATTTATTAAAAAGGGTTAGGGTTAGTCCTTTATGGGTGAGTGATTTACAGCACACCTGGCCCAAATGTAATTTGCAAAATATAAAGGAGATGCAGGTTCAATCCCTACCAAAAAACACATTTTCTTTAAGAGTCTTGAATGCCCAGACTAGTAGATATTGAATCGTTTAAAAAACAGTGATGTCTGCTTATATATATAAGTGTATCCACTTTTATATATATTTATATATATATATATATATATATATATATATATATATATATGCACTGAGGTTTACAAATTCTGAGTGCTCCTAAATAGAATCTGATAATTATTTCAAATTATTTCAAATTATTTTCAAATTTTTTGGTGAGAATAAAATTTATAAGATCATTTTAATTAGTTGATTTTCAGTGGACACTAAGTTTTAAGCTACTATGAATGTGGTGTAGGATATCTAGGAAAGGTAAATAATACGTAAATTCTATATGTTTGACTTTTAGTTTATAGGGATATATTAATGAAGCATCACCAATATATCAGAAGTATATTGATTGTTTCGGCAAAATATTTTGGAAAAGATCAGATCCATATATATATATATATATATATATGGGGAAAGAGAATCTGATGTAACCAGTCAAGAGGAACTTTACATGAACAGAAGCTCTTCTATTGTGTTACTAAGTCAGCAATGAGATACCACTGAGTGAGAATGCATACTGTATGACTATCACATTCATAATGTCAGTATGTTTGCCTATTCTTCATATTTTGTGCAAAATGCAACATCACCTTTTGTTATATCAGCCCCCACTTACAGTTAAAATTTTGCTCTCTGTAACTTCTGGCTTTTCTCAAAGCATCAATGGACAAGATTAAGGAGAATGCCAAAAGGCATCAGAGAGTTCTTGCATGAAGAAGGAAAAGGTATCATTGCCCTAGGTAAGTTATTTTTTGCTAAAATTAAATAGATGAATACTTTCTACACAGATCATGTATGTATGTATGTATGTGTGTGTGTGTGTGTGTGTGTGTATATATATATATATATATATATAAACTGTGAACACTGAATATAGTGAAATCTTTAGCAGAGAATGATAAAAATGATGATTTGTTGTTCACAGAAACTAAAGAATAATGTTTATGACTAGGCATCTAGTTTAGATGTATAAAGATTTTAAGTGATTCAGATTACTAATAGAATTATATTACTCTAGCCTTCTTAATAGATTAAATAGTACTACTAGTTGCTATATTTATTGTATGAAATATCTATGCAAATGCAACTGTTATGTCATATTTCTTGCCAACAATTTCAAAAACCTCCAAGAGCCTCCATATTTCAGTCAAACACAAAATGATTCCTGGAATGAAAATTAATAATGATATTGAAATGGTGAATAAGAGAAATAGATAAAAAAACTTAAAATATTAGTTTTAACCAAATTTATGAACCTCAGATGAATTTATAGTTGTACATTTGGCCAAGTTTGAAAATAAAATTTAGTAAGAACCCTTGAAATAAACATATGTATAACATATGGAGATGTAAGGAATTCTTTTTTTGTAAGCAAAGCCCCAACATTGAGAGAGGTCAGGTGAAAATACAACAATAAAACTAGGCTCTTTTATATACATATTATGATATCATTTAAATGGATTTTAAAGTCATAAATATAGCCAGAATATAAATGAGGGTCATATTGAAATATTAATAAAAAGATTTATAGATTAGGAATTCATGGAGTTAATGGGTTCCATAAATAGAACCAAAATATTAATAAGATCCAAGAGAAAATAAAATACTGTACACACAATAAAACTTTTAAGTGTATAGATGAACCAGATGCAGTTATATAAAATAAACAGATATTCAATAAACAGAGAGATGATAAAATATATAAATTTATGATTATTAATGGATTTTCATGATTATATGCTTAGCTACAATGAACAAAAGCCATACTAATATAAGTAGGTATACTAAAAAATTAGAATTAAGAATAGACTATAAATTTATTAATACCAATAATTATATTTTACCATTTGGAACAACAATAAATTCTTTTGATAAAAATAATTACAACTAGAAGTGAAAGTCCTGAACTAAGAAAAATAGAAGGGAAAGGAAAAGAAAGTAGTTAAAAAGAAAATTAGTTTTTAGTGAAAGAATTGTGAAATTTAATCCATTGTACTTTGCTGTGTTTTTCTATGTTTTCTAATTTATTTCCACATGGGAAATTAATAAGTTGCAAAATTATACAACTTTTGACTTCTACCAAGATTACTTTATTCCCAACCTGGAATCAATATGATGAATATCAAGCAAAAATATCAAGAAGCAAATTATTATTTTTTTGATAACTAACAGTCCTAGAATTATATTTAAACAAGTCAAAGATGCTTTTTGCAGAGGTTGATGTGAAAATAAAAGCACAATGCATTTCAGAATTTCAAAACTTGGCCAAACTATAATCATTTAACAACTAATGTATATGTTTTGCATTTAAAATGATTTATACCAAACACAATTATTCTTTTCTGTTCTGTTCAAGATGTCAATTTTTTTTTAAAGTAATGGTATTTTTTTAATTATGTTAAGAGATCAAACTAAGTACTTAGTCAAGCTCCAGAATGCATATTCTTGAAGAGATGGTTTTTGTTTGTCAGACCCTGATGACCAGCAGACTAGTCTTACAGATCTTTTTATTAGTGTAGGAAATTAAATTTTCACTGGATACCCCACTAAGACTAAGTTGAGTAAACAACTACATAGCAAGGTCATGACTTGTGGCAAAGATAGTTGCAAATCTTGGTTGAGGTGGTTTGCATTTATTTTACACTAAAGCCATGGCAAGGATTCATCTCTAGGTCTGGGTGAGATAGGAGGACATACTAAGCTTTTTTAGCTTTGATAGGTCAACCAGTCTAGCAGAGGGAAAACTCTAAATTCAAAACCAGTTTGAAGAAGGATGGGGACCATCTTATCTTGACAACAAGGCACATATATTATTGCAGCAGCTGAAAACAAAGGTCAAAACTAAGTTTACAAGGCACAGGCCTTATATATATATATATATATATATATATATATATATATATATATATATACATTTGATCTGCTATAAAATTATTTTTATATGTCTCACTAAATCTATCAAAGGATTTAAAGTAAGATTAAAGAAAAAAATAAAATAATAAGAGAGTTAAAAGAAGAGAAAGATAAGGAGAGGGTAAGAATGAGGAGAGAGTGGAGTTGGTTATTTTAGAAATGAAATGAGGACAAGTTCCCACCTTACAGCCAGTAGATGAACTTCATATTTCAAGGGACCATTCTCCGTTGAACAACTCACTTGATTCTCTATTTTAAAACTACAGACAGAACAAAAAAATGGCTCTACTCCAAGTCATGGTGATTAAAAAAATGGGAAGTAAAAAAAAATGATGGATAACAAAACAGGAGGAAAAGAAGAAAAGAGAAGTTAGAGGGGAGGATGTAAAAGAAGAAAGAAAGGAAGAAAATGAAAATAACAAGCAAATAACAAAAATAACATGAGCAATTATTAGCAAATTCAAATTATTTGAGATTTTGAGATGTTTTCATTATTATTTTTTAATTAAGTATTTTCTTGCTTTTTATCACAATGTTCTGGGTCAACATCTAGGTTAACAAATTCACAATGAAGAAATAGCATTCAACAAAACTAAAGATGTAAATTCAAGTATGGTGAGAAGCTACTTCCTTATTCTGATTTTAAAATTGTTTACCTCAAGAATTGAATGTTGTGATAAAAAGCAACATAAAAATAAAATGTAAAAAATAATTTTAATTATTTGTTGATTCATTTGAAAAACAGTGGAAATTTATAATAATTATATAAATTATATTATTATTATTACTAAATAGCGATATTATTATATTATTAAATAATATTATATAATTTGTTGCGGGTTGTGAAAATGTATCAGAAGATAATTTATGCAAGGCAAAGATTATGTGTGCTTATTATGCATTATCCCACAACATGTAGATCAAATAAAGAATATAAGGACAATTTGCATTGCAAGAAATGACTAAAAACACTGTGGTTAGAGATCCAACAATAAAGAGATTTTTATATATACAATAGATATACATGCAAGGATAACAGAATGTTTGTTGATTGTGGCAATTGAGACAAAGTTATGAAGAATGTTCATGCAGAAATTTGGTCAATAAAAGTTAATGGTTTTGATTTCTTAGTGAAATTAAAATAATTTGATTTCTGCAAGGAAAAATCTTAAATGTGTTCATTCAAATAATAGTGTGTATGCGTGTGTTACTTGTTAGAATTTAAGTTGTGAAGAGTTGTTTGCCTTTAACTGCTTGGCTAAATTGATGAATTGTACAATTACTGTTTGTGTAGTGAAAACGTTCACTTTTAAGTTAATTGTAATTTGATTACCACGTGGATAATGGTCAATTGAGTGCTGTGTTGAGATTGTTGAGAAATTTGAAGTG